CCTGCAAAATTTTAAGGTCACAGACGCGATAAGACATAGATACAAGAAAATTACATTGGTTTATTATGTATTTAGTAATTACATTTGATTGTGACATCTTGTATCAATACGAATATAGTTTATCACTTCATAAAATACAAAATTATTTAGGAACCTATAAAATCAAAGAATTGACATTAAAGGATTCTCTTGCTATTTATTTACGATGGGACAGTTTAAAATTATGACCATAATATTACGCAGACGAAAGGAAGAGTTCGGAGCTCAAATCGACTTTCACTTACCATAATATGCTAAAAGTGAAACTGGAATCGAAGTAGCCGACATACTATGTTTGATAAAAGAATATCGGGTTTTTTGTGAGGATATACGTTTGGGATGAATACAAGAAAATGTTATGCTTAATCCAAAAAATTAAAGTAAACAAAACATTAAAGAACAAAGAGTTTTGCGACGTTTTACTTCCTAGATTCTGACGTGTAAACTGTGGTGTGACTTTAATAAAATAAAGTGTTTTAATAGCGTTCATTAAAGTGATTAAAGACTACAATCGCCAAGGATGCAGTGATGAGATGTCCATCTTAAACACAAAAAATAAACATTTGCTTTTTTCCAACTAAAGTAAATTAAGATATTTTAAAGTTGGAAATACACAGCTTGAAGATTATTCTGTTAAAAGATTTCCATCTCCACGGATATAAAATAAAGGGCATAATTATCAACGTCTGCCAATTCATGAATGCTGTGAACTTTGCTTTGTGGTTGTGGCAAACTAAATGTCAATTGGAGGTTAAACTAAACTAAGCGTTATATTTCAATATTCGTCGTGAGGAATATTCCACTACAATACTTTATAATAAACACAATCCATAAAACGACCCATGACAATCAGAAAAGTAATAATATCTTTCAAATAATCGATTGAAGTAAGCTTTTATCGAAGACCCAACTTTGATCAGTGACAGATTTTCACTATATTCATTCTTGAATGCATATTCATGCATGATGATTTAGCGCGTGCAAAAATGCATGTCATTTCTGAGGTGGATTTTATGATGTGAAAAGGTCAATCAGGGATATTCTCTTTATTTACAAGAGCCCTTATATCAATAAAATCTTGACACATTTTCTGATGCAAATAGACAATGATAATATTTTGTCGAGGAACGGTTCACTGCAGATGATGTATGATATTAAGAAGTTTGTCTTCTTTTAATAATATATGTGCTATTTTTGTAAACCGTTTACTAAGGTTACGGGGGTTTTGAGGCCAATACTCTAATTAGCCGGATGTCAGACAGGGGCATTCGCCTGTTAAATATCTTCATCAAGGACATTATAAACGTTAACCGTTCCCAGACAATTAAGTTTATCAGCATACCGGTCTAGTTCTTTTTGCACCTTTTACTCCTTATTTAAATGTAGTACCTTTTCTTCGCTCATTTAAAACACCTTTGTCAGCTAGTGATTCATGTTTAAATTTCAAGGTTTTCATATTGCTTTACTATCAACTGATTTGCATTGATTTCTATTAGTTTGTCGCTACAGAGATCTTATCTTGAATTAGCTACTTATTACATGTGACCTTTCTTGCATTATGATTACTTCGTAACTAAATATCATCTGTACCTGTGCGAGTGACAAATGTTTCGCAAGCTTCTAACGCAGACTGGCATGTTACATCATTTCACTTTTGCCGACTATTTAAATGTCAAATATTGACCCGTGGCCCAAAGATGCCACCTGTCTTGTTATTACCCTACCATATTAGGAAGACAGGCGTATGAAGATAAATTACTTTGAAACGAAGTGCAACGAAACATTGCAAATAACATGAGATTAGAAACTGCCCATTTAAATAAAATTAAGTAATTGCTCAAAATTATAGTGCACGTTTCTATTGAGTATGAGTGATGCTTATAAATTCAGCTTCATTTTTTATTGCAATAACTTGTAATGGTATAAAAAATTAGTCTTATAGAGTTTTTAATCAATAGTATTTCTGATTTAATTACACATTTTATTATTTTTATTAGATATTTTATAAGACTAGCTGTTTCCCGTGACTTTTTACGCGTATTATTATAGCTTAATATTTTTAAAATCGGTCCATTAGTTAAAAGTAGCCTATTGAATGCAAACATTGCATTTTGTCCTCTTTATAATATTATTATAGATTACTTAATTGTACGGATGTTTTACTTTATTTGAATATGTAACTTTATTGTTCCTGTTTATAATGTTTATGGGTTTGTAATAAGAGACGTCGTCACGCAAACTAAAGTGATCCGCGCCCAATTTAACTGTCCACAATTATTATTATATACAAAATACAGAATAAATGCACATTTATAAAAAAAAAGCTTATACCTGTAGTCGATCCACAAAATATGAGCATTCTGCGTGTATTCTCCATATAAACTTTAACTGTGCCAAATTTCATATTCGACCTCCCGCACTATCTTTGTAAAAGATACAAATAGAGAGATATAATATATTCAATTAATTATTTATTCATTGCATTGCATACATGTGACTTAGAAACTAAATACACAAATTTAAGTTAATGATATTCACATGCACCTTTATAGGCACGGCAATATAGAAAGATCGAAAGAAGAGGGTTAGACATTCCATTTAATCTAAAACTTTTCATTTAAATATTCATTCACTGTGTAACAGCATTTATTTAAAATTATATTTCTTAGCATTTTTATAAATCGAGTATATGTTTTTTCGTTCTTTAGGTATTCAGGTAATTTATTGCAAATAACATGAGGCTAGAAACTGTCTAACAATTTAAAGATTAGAAATTAGTTAAGGATTATAACTTTAACTAATTTCCAATATTCTAGTTCACAACTGTTTGTGATATTACTGTCTAAAGAATTTTTGTTTAGTTCTTATAATATTTGTTTAACGAAAAAAAAAGAAAACGATTTATGTCCGATTCTTGACATTTGTTTTTGACGATGTCTTATTTTATATGTATTATACGCATTTAGTAATAAACTAACATATTTTCTTCTGACGAGACCGCGCAGGTTTCTCAAGCGGCGCAGGCGCAGGCGTGGTGTCAAGTAACACTTACGAAATACGCGAACGGTCACCGTCGGCATCACACAATCGCATAATCAGGACAACGGACATTTTATATACGAAATTATAAACGTTGATGGGACAAAAGGTTGCTCAAATAGGACGCTGTACATGGTGAAATGGGACTTTATTTAATGAAACGTTATGGTTTCATTAGCTTTGTCAAGAGTGCTATAGCTTTTATTAATGTATTTTAAAGTAAAAAAAAAAAAATTCTAGCGATATGTCAAGCAATATCGTAATACAGGTAAACAATGCATTTTGTTTAAATTTGAATTTCGTGAATAATTGTTTTTCTTGTGATCTCCACTACTGGAAGTTGGTCGTCTTTTGAGAATTCATCGCTTCCCTTTGCTATTAAAAACAACTGCCTGACACTCCATGTTCCTCAGCCTTGGTTTGTTACGTATTTTTGTATGTCTTGTCTTTTATTTGAGGTCTTTTAAGACTAATAAAACCAACATTAAAAAGGTATCCAGAATTTCGCAACCGTTTCTTGAGTATGGTAGTTATAAGACAATAACACTATTCATTTTCCAAAATAAAAAATGAAAGATATACATACTGAATCTACACGAATCGAATCCTATTGGCTATCCTACATGTTCTAAGAATATCAGTTTTTTTTTCTACTAAAACCAAATTGAACTTGTGACCTCGAGCTACATTTAAGCTGTCACCGCCTATTTCTTATTACAGAACACTTCGCCTTGATATTAACTGAAATGCTAAGTTTAGTGTCGGTTGCGATTCGTGACTGACTTTTAATTTGTTATAACTAAAATATCTAACTTTTTTACTCAGACCTATTTTTTCTCTTAACGTTTGTAAAATATACTCGGGTATTTCTTATGTTTGAAAACGAGAAACACGTGTTTGGTTTCCAAATATACATATTCTATTTAAAAAAAAACATATGTGAATTTAGACGTTGAAAAGAAGATTGGCGTCAAGATTGATTTTTTATAAATATATCAATAAATTTTATTGGATCTAATCTAATGATTTATTAAAATAAATAACTGATTAAATATAGGTACAGGAACTAATTCAAAACGATAACAGAACACAGTCGATTACGACTAAATCGAACCAGACATATTCCAGTTTTTATAGACTTAGGGCGACGAATAACGTCAGTCTGTGAGTGGGACAAAATTGTCCCGCACAATAGTGAGTCATGATATGTCAATCGCGACACAGAAGAGAGAACAACATAAATAGCTATATTTCTACATTCTGTAAAAAAACCATCCCCTCTCATTTTATAAATACACACCGTTTGTAACCTCTCCCGTGTAAATCAACCTTAAATATCATGAGCTTCAGTTTCAAGTGTCTGTTTTTAGTTTTACAACAGGACAATACACATTAAATACAACCATAGAGACGTTTTAGTACGCAATTGTACATGCCATCATCCATCGTTAGAGAATTTCATAGAAAAATGTCCGCATTTAATACAGGTTTTTAGTCACGTTATGAACTTACTGTACTTACTTAAAAAAATCTCGCAGCTAAAAGGAAAAGATGTAAAATTCCCCCCTACATATAATTGGGAAGGCCCATTTACGTATAAGGACGATAGCGCCGATAAACGCAATTGTTATAAAAATGTAGATATTTTAGATATAATTTGACATTGCAATTTTGGTAAGGTCAACTAGACGTTCTAAGCAATGCCGTAACACACCATTGTTTGTCGGTCACGATCTCGATTATTGGGTCATAGTTTACTTGCCGGCATATATTTGCATGAAACTGTTCGAAAAGATATAACAAACGTATATCTAACGTGAGACGTATGATAACATCCCTTTACATAAACGTATTATGAAATATCAATATGTTTAGCTTTGCTTCGAACTAGAAAGAGGAGTGACTTATACAGTTTATCTATCCTATATTTGAATGAGACATGTACTGTTATACCTTTGACCTTCATTTTTTTCATCTAAACGCCCATAACGGAACGCCTCTACATACCAGACAAAGCTAGATACAATCAAGCGTGTAGTCACAAAATCGCTAGCGTCAAACAACGCCGACGTCGACGTCCAGTAATGAGCCTGGACAAATGACAAACAAACATAAAGAATTCTGGATACAACTATATGACGTGATGACTATTGTCGATTCATTCCGATGTTTTTGTATAACTCTTACTTACGATGTAATATGAGGAAATTCATACCTCGTCAGAAGCTCAACTATGTCGAATTCGTTTGAGTACGAAGCACGTTTTGTCTAAATATTATGTCGAGTTTCATTATTCGCACTTTCACTATCAACAGTCAAAAATTATGATCTCCGTTTTTTCTACGAAAGCTTAAACGAGGGCGCCGATGACAGCTAATAAAGTGAGAGCCGTCAAGATGATCTCTCATAAAATTATCAGTGTTGCATCAGTGGTATTTTCTGTTATATACAATGCTGTTTCCTTTGGTGCAACTCCTAGTAAGAATAGACAAAAGTTGTCGATGAAAAATTGAACAAGCGATGCTGCCTGCGTAGATGTCGAATATAATTGTAACACAGTGCGCGCCAAAGTGGCTTTTGTACGGAACGACGTGTTCTCACGTCCTTAATAACTGTTAGCACTCGGAAACGGTTACAAAAACGTAGATATTGACAAAGGTAAGGGAAACGTAACACGCGGAACCACAACACGAGTTGTAAGTAAAGTTCTTAAATAGATTTTATTTCCATTCGATAATTGTCCGAGAGCGGTATCGAAAAATTTCAATAGTAAAAAGAAATTGCAATTTCAAGACGTTTATTACTATCCGTGAAAACTATGCATTACCGCTGAATTTCTCTTTCATAACTCGACTTAACAACTCCAACAATCATGTTGGCTTTCTCTTAGAATGTGTCATTTTCTTTTATATTACAGGTGTAAAGTGAATTGATCCATAACATAGAATTACGACAATAAATATTGAAAGTCTACCGAATATCAACACATTTTAGTTGTAATCGCATCTTATAATTGCTGTTTGAGCAGATTGGCATCCGTGACGGTTCATAGGTAATACAAAGCTTCGCCTGTAATATTTTTACATAATCCGTCTGCATAGTTTCACAAAATTTCTCATCACGCACATTCGCAAGGCCCCGAGAGTTCGCTTACATCTGACGCGTACATCGCGTGTGCTTCTTACCGTGACATAACAACACATATTGCACGCGATGCGTCTAGATATTTTCTAATGATTTCTATCTTTATTTTTAGTGGCTCTCTTGATTTGTGATATACGATAACAATGCAATTTATAATTATTATGTTAGGGGCAAAAATTATTCCCTATAAAGCATTGAGAAGAACAAAACGTATGAAATAATGTTAAACCTACTTGGTTTTACACTATCAAGTCCCACATCGTCTCGGTGTGTATGTTACATATTTAAATAAAGATATTTTCCAATATTCTGAATTCTTTTTTTTTATCTCCCAAATTTTAAACTGCGTTACAATAAGTTTTCTATAGATCATTATCAAATAAAGAGTACTTTTTTGCTGCAAAACAAATTATTATCTTAAAATAAATTAAGTCAAGAACAAAAGTAGTATTTCGTCAACATTAAATTACTTAAATTACCTTATAAAGTTTGTCCTTCTGATACCATACATCCTCTTCTTCTTCTAGTTGCGCTGCCTGTGTGAGATCGTCACGGGAACGCGACAATATACGCCGTCGGGATACCATCTCGCCTCCCGTCGCCGCCTCAAATGGCCCTAAACTGAAACAAGAGGAAATAAATATATAAATTAAAACTCTCAAACAATCATCAGATCAAATATGCTAATCTGTTAAAATGCAGGGACAGAGCTGTCTTAGGTGTAGGGGTTCAATCAAATAAAACCTTTATTACCTTGAAGTAGGCCTTATTTGATCGAACTTGCGACAGTGCCCTGTTTGAAAGATACAACATCTTTAGAATAGCGCTGCATTAAGATTTAGTGAAACGGAGTAATAAAAGACTGCAGTAATGTTACCAAGTCACTAAAGCTCTTATGCAGAGATAATAAATGTCGTTATAACATGACTACGTTATAGAGTAATACCAATTTATCAACAAAAAGAATCTATAGAAAAAGGAATCAAATCACAAACCATCTAGACCAAAGTACGAATCGATGCGTAAGGTGAATTACAAGAATTTAAAGGCCCAAATGCGGAAGTTGAAGCTGTTGATCCTATCAATGATACCGATACAATTGTCAAACTTTCTATGGCAGATTAAGTTATACGTAACCGTATTATAAAACGAAACAATAGGAACGGTGAAAGCTCTGCTAAGCATCCTCTGATGTTGGTGATTTTCATCAGTTCGCTATTCAAAACGAATGGATGCGATTTGTCAAAATAGGTATCCCTTTGACTGGTCGGTGAGAAACTGAGATGAGACTTAATAGGCACCCGTTTGTAGCACCATATCCATTGTGTAATGCTTCAAAGAACTTTTTGTGTGAATGCTCTTTAGATGTAGATAAAGTTTTAAGTTTACTGACATACTAAAATATTGCGATGACTCAATATTTATTTGTATGTTACGTCTAAAAGCCAGTAAAGGCGATCATGTTATGCCAGATTACATCGTTGGGATTTACGACGTATTTGAATTAAGAATGACCTCTGGTTGGTAGAAGCTAAGTTTGCAACGCTCATTTGATACGTATAAAGTACCGCTACTCGTATAAAAGTGGGTTGCTTCTTTACATCACTGGCAACAAAGGCTGCGCTTCCTTCCGAGAAGTAACAATGTGTGGCATTGGAGTCGACATTGGGCTCGCGGTCCGTATCTAACGATCGACGGTTCCTCCCATTCATTTGATGCCCACCGGTTTGTTTACGTTGGGTTTCGCTAATAGATCGCCCGAGGCGAATTTCGTTAAAAGCCTCATCAGCTTTTATGTTCGTTCTATCAGTCATCGTCTTGGATGTAAGTTCTTTACAAAGGTTTATGATGACATTGACGGTGGAAAATGTTTTGTGAAGTTATTTATACGAGATTCTCTTAATTCTCTTAATGAAATTTTAGATAAATAATTTTTATATGCATTTATATAATTAGGTTCTTATTTATGACGTAATTCTTTGAATTAACTTCCAGATTATTATATCAAATAGCTTAATTTAGAGTAGTTGATTGAGGTGTAGTATAATTATGTATTATGTACAAATTATATTTTAATATCCATAACAAGGAAATTAAAAGCATTGACTTCTGAGATAAGTATGTTGATTTCTTAACCATTTACGGCTTACTATCTAAAATTGAAACCTTATTATGATAAATTGCTGGAAAGTGGAAAGTCCGATCGTTTTCTCAATAAAAGACTCGAGTGAATTACTTCACTAAAAAGTTTAATGTAGATGGACGATTGAGAAAACATAATGGATTTCACTAAACTTTAAACAGATTATTTAAAAATAAAAGTAAAAAAAAAGAATTATATGATTTCGTTTGTTGACAATTGACAAAAATCAATAGAATACACGGTATTTGCCTTGCCTTAATGTCACCTTTAGCAAAATAAAATTCGTTGATCTAACTCCGACTATTGGCACTTGAAATGAATGGACAACTAGATTCAAATTATTTTTTTATAATTTTACTATTTTATTTAAAAAAACACTAACAAAATTAAAAGTTAATTTAATGAAATGAAACCTAAATAATGTACAAGCAAATAAAGCACAAGGTAAATAAAGCACAATTAGTATCACCAAACTTGAAACAATTGAAGATCATTTTATTATAATAACGACATTCGGTTATAAATTTAAAACAGATCATGAACTAAATGCACTTATATAGCGGATTTACTTAGTTCACCAGATATTGGTCGATGTTACCGCATGTTTCGAGATCAAGATAGCTTTGTACGATTCCAAAGGCATGTCTGATCTTGCTCAGATAACTGAACTATGCAATTTCACAGATCCCTTACAATACTATAATTCTTATAAGTGTTACATTGTTACAAGCGAATAAAGTTAAGCTTAAAATTAAGATTAGGAAGTTAAATGTTATCAACAAAAGCATAAATATACAAAAAAATATTTCGTTAAAAAATCATGTAGTAACCTTTATGGAGACAGTTCGAAACGTTTGCATTCTTGAATGTAAAGCTATAAGAACTAATATCTAAACTAAAAAAGGCGAAACGACTTTAGCATAAATAAAACACAACATGGTACAAACACATTTTTTATAAAGCGATTTGCAGTGTTATTCTGTTTTAAGCCTACTGCCTACTTCAAAAGGTAATAAAGCTGTTACTTCATTAAAGCTCTTGAAATTACATTCCTGGTTTCGATGAGTTCGAGACTATTTTTTAACAGAATAACATCGCTGTACCAAAACGAGGCGTATAATTGGATCGTAATATATGAAACTTAGATTATCGTGATGTTTGTGAGACGTGCGCGGGCGCCGCCTGTGCCCGTGTCGCGTGCCTGATGCAAAGATACACTGTCTACCAAGGCTTGAATAAGTGTTATGGTTTGACTTGCGAAAACTGTTTCACAAGCTATGTGACGACAGAGCCATATTTCAGCTGCAAAATGCCATTTAACTCCACAAGAATAGATATTTAGAATATTGCTTGGTCTATTTTATAGTGTAACTAGTTGTTTTTCCGCGACTTCACCCGCTTGAATTATGTAGCTTCCCGAGGTGAAAGAAATTTTAAAATCAGTTTAGTAGTCTATTCGATGTAATCAAGCAAATCTTGCCTCTCTTTAATATTAGTATTATAGACGAAATTGTCTAAAACTTACTAGGAAACGATAAATGAAACACTATTTTTAAATAAATATCAATTTTAAAAACGTTATTTCAATTTCTATATCAGAGAAACCGGTTTTTTTATGTACCTCTGTTTTTTTTACCAATTGTTTGTTAGGTTAACAATTCTTGGTGTTCTTTAATATTTTAATTATAACTTTTTGTACACTATTGTTATTTCTTTTGCAGATTTTGCGACATCTAATCGTATATTCTAGACAATGCAAAGGATATTCGTCGATTAATTATAATTCCAACGAGAATTAATCTCCGTTTGATTTTTTAAATCTCTATTCAATGTCTTCTTTGCGCTACAACAAGGTCGACACTTGCAACACAAAGAGCATTAAGGTATCATTCATTTTATACGTACATATATGAGACATGCAGTACAATTGATATAAATTATAATCACATTTAAATTCCTAGATAATAGACACGTCAATAGAGAAATGTTCTCAATATTTATTTTTCCAAAGCATTAAATTAAAAATTAAAATAATTTAACATTAATATACAAGTAAAAAAAAAGTATTTTTACCGTTTTTTTAACGATTTTTTATTTATTTATTGACAACAGAAAATTTGTGCACTGATTACAAACTTACCTTGTGTAGGTTAATATTTTAAAAATCAATTAAATAACTCATTTTATACTTTACCATTATTAACGACAATGATATTAGAGTAAAACTAGTCATCAATCTTGGAAAATGGAAATACCTTACCTGTTTGCATATAGATGGTATAGACATATACTTCCAATATGTACAATATTTCCAATTCCAAAAATTCATTCTACATATTCATTGTACTCATCGATGTGAATACCGGCATCGATTTAATGTAATAATACTCCTTAATAGAATATGTTCTGAGTTATCACTATACTGTATATAAATAAGACTTTCCTTAACTTATATTTCACATTGTAACATAACTATAGCTTAAATATAATATACGAGTAACTAGAATAAACAATCACATTGGAACTTTGTTCTCTCAAATGTTCTATTGCTTTATTCTACCGTATAGCTAGTTAGTAAAACATAATAGAAACCATAGTTTATTATCGGCATTGTAAGTGAAGGGGTGTCTAATTTATGTACAGGCATAGTTTAATTTTATTTATATAAAGATGTTATTGGACTCGTTCCTGCGGCATACTGACCTATATCAAGAGGTGAACGTACAGAAGTGCTGGGACAAATTATCCGTGATATCTTATCGATTGTAGTTAGTGAGTAAAATATGAAAGAAAGAAAACTCACTTATTAACCCACAAACACACATAAGAAGGGATTGAGGAAAAAATAACAATAACAATGATAGTTGGGTCAATAAAGACTCTGTATCAGCTTATAATGTTATATACGACATAGGTAACAAAGCTGGATATATCGGCAGGACCTGTTGATTCGTGACGTTTACTATTTAAGTAAATATGAATAACTTATAAATATATTCATAAATAAATCAGATCCTAAATCAAGTAACTAAATCACTTGGAATAAGGAAATCGGAATTAATGAAAGCTAGTATGGATTACTCGCTAGACCTGCAACAATATACACGAGTAAAATCTAATTTTCTATGTTGGCTCTACTGGAAATCAAACATGGGGATGTCAAAGACGACATAACGTTGATACAGATGTTATACTGATAAATATTATTGTTATACATTATAGTTTAATTATTACCAAGCTTGGAAAAGTTGTTTGTGCTGTGCTGAAATAATAAAAATGCCCTCGAAACCTATTAGAAGGGTGGAATCAAATTAAAATCAACGAGAATAAGAAAATACCCTCTATATAAAATTAAATTCAAAGAAAATATATGCTCTGTTAAAGGATATTAATAGTTTAGAAACTATCGATATGGTATTTGTGTTAAAGGCCTCACTATCGACATCCCGCTAAGCCCCTAGACCAGTCATTACGGGAACTTAGCGGAGCAGGTTTACACTTTTATTTTCTTTTTACGGACGCGAAGGCATCCCTAGCCGACACGGGTATTATTAGATCGGGATAGCACGTGGAACTAGTAATCGTTTTTATATGCCATTAAGTTTTTTTTTCTTTATAACCGTACTGGATGATTGCTTCATGGAAGTGTAAACTATTTTGAGATAACTATTTATAATAATTAAAGCGCTATAACGTCGTTCTCTTTTCTTAAATTATCTGAATTCGTTTGTTTTTTTTTTTTCACTTTCCAACGCGGATGAAGTCGCGGGCACAGCTAGTCTTAAATATTAAAGGTGCTGTAATGTCCGTGCACATTACTCTTATGTATTTACTCTACGAACGATTTTTGGTCATGCTGGCCGCTAATATTTGAATATTTAGTTTTTTGCATTTGAATTACCGTTGTTGCTGGTTGAGAATCGTTTCTGTGGAATGCTTAATAATGTAATTCTCCTTTGAAATAAAATTTAAGAATGCTGAAGAATTGCATCTTTCATTCCACAGTCCTGACCCATTTCGGCATCCTATGCCATGGCTATTTAAGAGTGCTGTCCCCTTTTCCGGTCCACATTAAATACAAAGCACTAATTTAATTTAATTAATAAGTATCAAAACTAATTACTTCAAACAAATCGGCTATAATAACCACACGCAAAGTACTGCCAGAAAGAAAACAAGTTCAAGACATGAACAACATTGTTAATAATGTAACGGTTACATGAAGTACTTATGAAATCTGTTGTAGACTTTTCAAAGAAAATTCTTTCGAACCACTTTCCAAGTCAAATTGCGGCGTGTCTTAGATTTTAAGTGTCTCTATTATTTCTCGTGAAGAACACCTGTTGACGAATGTACCGTGTCTCACATGCAATGTGGTCTTTATTTCTTCAACAACTAAATCGAAAATTGGTAAGCTTATTTTATGTGTCATATGTCATAATGTGTAAAAAGAAACCTTTGCTTTTGATGATTGGTCGCGTTCTATTTTTGCTGCATAATATTCTGAAATATTTATCCTTTTAATTATCTTATTTACTGTGAAAGTTCACGGTATCTAGAATATAAAAAAAAAACATTGAATGATGAAAATATTTAAAAAATTTCCGAAACATTAGTATATTTTTTTAACTTTTACAACACAATTAATTTGTCATTCACATTTAATATTAAAATAAGGTATTGTAAATAGTATTTCTTGTTACGGAATCCGAAGTAAAAGTGTTATTTAGAGTAAGTGTACGCATTTTCTGTTCATGTTTCAGGAAAATAGAAAACAACTAAAGTAAAGAATGAAATATGAGTGAGATTGGTTAATTGTGTAGGTCGCGTTCTGACCGGAAATTTGTTGAAGAGTACCGACATGTTAAAATACTAGCCATGCGGAAAATTATCCACTGTGCACACATTACCTTCACAACTCTATTTCAGTAGTTAAAAACATGCTAGACTCAAAAACAAGATCAGCAACACATCCTTACCTGTTCAACGAGAATCGAACACGAGATCAACCTAATTTATGGACATCATCATCACAATAGATCCTCGGAAAAGATACCATATCGCGAATGAAATACCTACCACAATCGCTAAACAAACATGTTTGATGTAACACAATTTTTACCGACACTAATGCAACTGGTATTTCCTGTAGGTACCTGTTCGTATAAGATCTCTCTCTACACAATGGCTTTACACCCACACTTCGCAAACAGCTTAATGTTAGAACAATCACTGAACAAATACCGTCGCGAAATCACCGCGCTGAATTTGGTTAATTGTAGTATCTTTTATTTGTGGGTTTGACCGAGTAGTTTGACAAATGGATAGTAAAGTAGCGAGTTTAGTTGTGCATAGTAATAGATCGCAAACTTGAAGATTTTACTGTTGCACACGGTGAAAATAATAATAAATCAGCGTAAGTCTCTTACGCAAATATTTATTACTATAAACAATCTAATAGTTTCATTGAAACTGATGAACTGATATGTTTTATTATGGTATTGACATTAATTATGAAATTTTAAGAAAGATTTGAAAATAAACAAGTTAAGTTCTTACCTGTTAAGCAGGGTGCATTCAGACTT